AGCTGCTCCATTGCACTGGTGGCAGGAATCATGTGGTGGGGGGGTGGGAAGGAAGAGAAAGTACTGGGCTGATGGAAGTGGGGAAGGAGAAGGGGCCCTGGCTGGCAGAGAGGGGAAGGGAGAGAAAAGGCCGGACTGGCAGAGGAGGGGAGAGGTGAGGGAGAAGGGATTGGACTGGGAGAGAGGGGAAGAAGAAGAGGCTTGGGCTGGTGGAGCGGGGGAAGGGAAGAGGGAGAAGGGACCTGGACTAGCAGGGGGGAAGGAGAAGGGACCTGGGCTGGTGGAGGGGGTTGCCCACAACACTTTCTCCAGCACTCTGGCTATGTCTAGACTGGCCAGTTTTTCCGGAAAATCAGCCGCTTTTCCAGAAAAACTTGCCAGCTATCTACACTGGCCGCTTGAATGTCCGCAAAAGCACTGACTTCCTACTGTAAGAAATCAGTGCTTATTGCGGAAATACTATGCTGCTCCCTTTCGGGCAAAAAGTCCTTTTTGCACAAAAGGGCGAGTGTAGACAGCTGAGATTTGTTTTCTGCAAAAAAGCCCCGATCGCAAAAATGGTGCGATCGGGGCTTTTTTTCGCAAAACCACGTCTAGATTGGCCATGTATGCTGTTCTGCAAAAAGTGCTTTTGCGGAAAAGCGTCCGTGCCAATCTAAATGCTCTATTCCTAAAATGCTTTTAACGGAAAACTTTTACGTTAAAAGCATTTCCGGAAAATCATGCCAGTCTAGACGTAGCTTCTGTGTTTTCTTGTAGGTTACCCTCAAAATACTTCTAAGCCCTGGGCTACTTAGCTCATAGATTTTGATGGCAAGTTTCTCAAAGGTGATTATTGTTTTGGGATACCTCTCTTTTTCATAGAATCATAGAATAGAATCATAGAATCATAGAACTGGAAGACACCTCAGAAGGCCATCAAGTCCAGTCCCCTGCTCTAGGAAAACCCAATCCCAACTAAATCAACCCATCCAGGGCTTTGTCAAGCCGAGATTTAAACACCCCTAGGGATGGAGACTCCACTACTTCCCTAGGGAACCCATTCCAGTGCTTCACCACTCTCCTAGGGAAATAGTTTTTCCTAATATCCAACCTGGACCTCCCCCACCACAACTTGAGCCCTAACCCATTCCAGTGCTTCACCGCCCTCCTAGTGAAATAGTTTTTCCTAATATCCAACCTGGACCTCTCCCACCACAACTTGAGACCATTGTTCCTTGTTCTGCCATCTGTCACTACTGAGAACAGCCTCTCTCCATCCTCTTTGGAACCTCCCTTCAGGAAGTTGAAGGCTGCTATCAAATCCCCCCTCACTCTTCGCTTCTGCAGACTAAACAGACCCAAGTCCCTCAGCTTCTCCTCATAAGTCATATGCTCCAGCCCCCTAATCATTTTGGTCCAGCGGAGGCCCATATACCAGAGGGTGCAAAGGGTGTGAACACTCCCCACATCATCCTCAAAGTAAGCATGAGGCAGAGGTGGTGCATTGTTCTGACTTCCCTCCCCTGTGCTCTAGCTGGCTAAGAGAAGGCAGGAGCGGCATGTTACCCCGACCACCCTCCTCCATGCTCTGGCCAGCTAGGGGAAGGCAAGAGCAGGGCCAGCCAGGGGAAGGCAGGAGTGGTATATTACTCCAGCCTCCTTCCCCCATGCTCCAGCCAGCCAGGGGAAAGCTTAGGCTGATTCCCCCCAGCCCTGGAGTGATGCTGGGACATGGGGGTGAGGCAGCCAACAGCGCCTCCCACCATTCCAAATCAATAGTCACTACTGAAAGTCTTCCCAGTTGAGTTCCTGACTGAAGATGGTTCAGACAAGAGCTTTTATTAGGCAACAAAATTTTCTTTCAAAATTGTCACCTTTTTCTAATCATTTCTCTCCTCCCCTTCCCCACTAAACAAATTCATTTGTGGAAGCAAAATGCTTGCAGCAGTTTATATAGTCATTACTTAACCTCATTCAGCTTCATATCAGAGGAGTTGATTGGGTAATGTTTGGGGAGGAAGGCAAGGGGAGATCCAGGAGCAAATCAAGCCATTTCAGTCTCCATGTCAGAAAATAGTGCTGATCAAATGTGTTTCTATCAACAATTGCCTTTTTCAATTACTCAGACAAAAATCAGAGGAATGGTGTGCAGTGTAGTATAGCCCAGTAATGATGTGAAAGGCTGAAATGGCCAGCAAACAGAAAGAGAGAGAGAGCTGAAGTTGTACCAGTAATGTGAATGTTACAGTAGAGGCTATTATAGATAAGTAATAGCCATGCCTCAGCAAATGAACCTTTTCAAGGGCACCAAATAGTTCCTTCCATAGGTCTGGCTGTCTGCTTGAATGTTAGATACATTTCAAGCCCAGCAGGGAAGAATTGTTAAATCTATCCATTTACTTAGCCATTTGTTTAAGGCTTTTTAATCTCCTGTCATATAGGCAACAAACACCTCATGACAGAGGGTAGCATACCTGATGACACCATCACTGTGGCTACCTCCTGCTACCAGGGGATTCATTTATACATTTTGCTTTTGCAATCTTGGGCAGTATTTTTCCTCTATATGAATCCAACTGATTATGCACGTCGTGCCTCTGAGGTAGTGGGTTCCAGCATTTGAAAACTTATGCCCAAATAAATGTGTTAGTCTTTAGGTGCCACAGGATTCCTCATTGTTTCAGCTGATGAATGTTACTCAGATGCCACCTGCTTCTATTTTATGTTTTGTGACTTTGTATGTTCACTGGAAGAACTTTTGTATTTGGTAAGAGTGAGTTGATATTACAGCAACAAACAATGGAAGAAAGGAAGTGGGGTGCTGGATTTTTACACTAAATAAAGCATATCGTAGGTCTTTTCTTCTCTTCCTGCTTTCCAGGGACATTGTGTATGGACTCTGTCTAAAATCAAGGCAATAGATGGAATTTTCTCCACTTTATTAGAAAATCAGTAGAAGCAAAATTTGGGCCTGACCCAAAGCTCATTAAGTCAATAGGACTCTTCTGTGGGCTTTTGATTGGCCTGCTGAGAACAACTATTGAATAGCCCAACTCACATTAATGTTAATAGAAACAGGAACATGAGCAATTATTCTAATCATTTATCTTTGCTGCAATCTTCTGCTTTTCCTAATGGAGGTCCTAAGCCTGCAATGTGTGTCACTGCTCAAATCAGTGGTACTCTGCACAGGTGCTTGGGTCTGTCCCAGAGGATCAGACTGCAGGATGAGGCCACATAGTATGGGAGCAAGAATTTGAGATACAAATAAATGTGGTGCTAACTGAGCTTGTTGCATTTTCTTTTTGTATTTATTTAAATTGGAATTCTGAGAAATCATAAAGTCATTATAGGTTGCAGGAGGGGGCTTGGCATTCCAGTTCATCAGATCGCCATATCAGTAGTAGTATTATTTTTTTAAAACAGAGGAGAGAAAGGAGATACTTGTGCTGAAATATCACTTTAGTAATTTAAAAATGCTATTAAAAATCCAAGTCAGTATTAAAAAGTCATTAGTGCAAGTTTGGGTGGGGGTTTGTTTCTAATGAAGAAACAAATTAGATCTCACAAGTAAAAGGGTAATAACATTTACTGTCAGTTTTCTACTGTTGATAGGCTTATCTTCAGTGTATGTTTTTATATATGTCCAAGGCCAGAAAGTTGCTCAGTCATATAGTTGCTAATATACCTTCCCATTCTCCCATTTGTACAAAATTTGTTTCTGGAAAGTACTGCAATCTATAATTAGCATCTGTTGCTAGTTTGCCATTCCCCGATGCAATTTTCATGACTATATTATCAATTCAAAATTTAGGTAGGGTTGTTTTAAATAAATGAGATGCAAATTGACCAAAACCATAGTGACTCCTTGCATTCCAGCATAGCTGGGTCATATTTTTTCTCTGAGGAAAAAAAAGAAAGCTTAGTAATGCCACAATGTTATTAACAGTTTTGACCTGAACTCTGTGACAACAAACTAAAAGGCTGCGTCTAGACTGGCAAGTTTTTCCGCAAAAGCAGCCGCTTTTGTGGAAAAACTTGCCAGCTGTCTACACTAGATGCTTGAATTTGCGCAAGAACACTGACGATCTGATGTAAGATTGTCAGTGTTCTTCTGCAAATACTATGATGCTCCCATTCGGGAAAAAGCCCTCTTGTGCAAATGTATTTGCGCAAGAGGGCCAGTGTAGACAGCTCAGGACTGTTTTGAGCAAAAAAGCCCCGATGGCGAAAATGGTGATCGGGGCTTTCTTGTGCAAAACCGCGTCTGGATTGGCACGGACACTTTTCCACAAAAAGTGCTTTTGCGCAAAAGCGTCCGTGCCAATCTAGATGCTCTTTTCCGCAAATGCTTTTAACGGAAAAACTTTTCCGTTAAAAGCATTTGCGGAAAATCATGCCAGTCTAGACGTAGCCAAAGAGAAGTTCTGCTTAGCTCTAAGCAGATCTTGATTTTTTACATCAGTTTCTGAATGCTTTGATTTCTTTAGAACACTTCTTTAAAAAGAGAATTAAGTTATTTTACATTTAACTTTTCAAGTTTAGCTCCAGGGTTACTTGTAAACTTTTGATCTCTTAAAAGTGCAGCACTAGGATTGTTTTCTCTTTTCCTAGTGAGTTCTCCTCTTCTAAAAATTCACTATAGTGAAGTGATGTATTTTTCCCCTACAGAATGACTTTAAAGCAGAATGAAATTCACTCACATGCGGAGTGCCAGAAAAAAGTATATATGCCACTTAATACCTTGATCAATCAAAGCCCTTCAATGTGTATTCAACTTCAAGAGACTTGCTTTGCATGAGCAGGGGCTACTTATGTGCTTCAAATTAGGAGCACTGATGGACAGGGTCATTTGGGTTTAACTGGATGCTGCAGGCTGTCTTCACAGGAATGAACTTAACCCTAAAAGAATTTACAGAATCTCTGCAGTAGCTTGTTTAATTCATGTCAAAGCTCATTACAGTCAGGTTCCATTATATGATATTAAAAAACCTTTTTCTCCCTCTCTTTCTGGGCAGGACTCCAGCAATGATTGGATGTTCTTTTGTGGTGGACCGAGAGTATTTCGGGGAGATTGGCCTGCTTGACCCTGGCATGGAGGTCTATGGGGGAGAAAATATTGAACTGGGCATGAGGGTGAGTGGCAAATAAGAAATTTCTTGCATATAGACCACAAGAGGAACACTTTGTCCGATAGAACTTTCCTCTGTCTTTCAGTTTACTAAACAAAGGTGGCTGGAATTGTAGGAGTATCAAAACAATAATAAATCCACACACAAACACAATAAGGGTTGCTCATGGTCCTGCTAACACTGGGAAAATTCATCCCATTCAGCAGTGTGGTTTACTCTGTATCCATGCTTCAACTCATTGGCCCAGATCCCCTGCTATAACAAATCAACTTAGCTGCATTGACTTCAGTAGGCCTGTGCCAGGGTGGATTGATTTAAATCACTAATGTTAATCATAATTTAAACCAACAAGCAGGAAACCTTGATTTAATTAATCAATTTTAATTTTGTTTTGCTTTTGTAGCTAAGGAAACACTGATATTCATTGGCTGGCAACCATTAGAACATGGTGACAGCCAACAAAATATGGCCTTTACACTAAATTTGATACTGCTTTTGCTAACCAGGATGATACACTGTATCTATGAACATTTCTAAGATGTTTTATAGCTTAATTTACATTTTTTTCAAATTCTTAATTTTTACATTTTTGTTTACATGTGAAAACAGTGAATGATGCACTTATTTACTGGATAGTGATAGAAATGTAGCAGTGTTAGTCTGGTGTAGCTGAAAAAAAACCAGGACTATGTAGCACTTTAAAGACTAACAAGATGGTTTAATAGGTGATGAGCTTTCGTGGGCCAGACCCACTCCCTCAGATCAAATAGTGGAAGAAAATTGTCACAACCATATACAGGCAGTCCCCGGGTTACGTACAAGATAGGGACTGTGGGTTTGTTCTTAAGTTGAATTTGTATGTAAGTCGGAACCGGTACATATTGTAGGGGAAACTCTAGCCAAACATTTCTCCAGAGCTCAGTTTTATTCTCCCACACCTCACTTCCCTCAGTCCTTTATTCTCAAGCTGAGGTGTCTGCTGAGAAAAGCCGCTCCGTGTCTCCCTGGTCTGCTGGGGGGTGGGGGTGGGGGGCACTAGCTTCGCGTTTCCCTGGTCTGCTGGGGAGAAGCAGCTAGTGCCGGGTTGCCTCACCCCGTTTGTAAGTAGGGATCCGATGTAAGTCGGATCCATGTAACCCGGGGACTGCCTGTA